GTCGAAAAAAAGTCCTTCCGATGGTGGAAGGCACTGCGCCCCTAGTTGATGGACGATGGTGACCTGGGATAAAGTTAACTTGCGAGCCGACCAGGAACGGAGTTGGGCCGCTGTCGACCCGGCAGATTCCATTGGATGCTGGTGGTGGGTGCGGAACCTGAGCGATCCACTGAGAAGTTGACAAGGGTGACTGGATGAGGGTGCCCCGAAATACCGGGGAAGGCAGGGTTTCGCAGGGTAGCTGCCACGGGCGAAGATACGCCCCCCTGTTTCACACATCATATGTATGTACACATACAGGTGCACTGCGCTGGTACAGACAACCCCAGTCGCAATCTGCTGCTGCTGCAGCAGCCGGCAGTCCTAGTGGTGGTGGCGACGGCCGTGGCGGCGGCGGCTCGTCCGTCGCTGTCGTACTCGAGGGGTACAGCCGTATTGAGACCATCGTAACGCTGTTGAGCTGGTTGTTAGAGGTACAGCTGGCTGCCACGTGAGTGAGATTCGGGGGGGGGGAGCTTTATTGGGAGAGCGGGGGGAGGGGGGAAGGGGGGGATGGAGGAAAGTTAGTTGGTTACGCGAGGGTAAAAGTGGCGAGCCAGGGCGAGGTGAAGGGATGAGGCTGTGGATGCATCGGCTGTGGGGGAATTGTGGAGTGCGGCGCAGTTTAAGTATAGCGTTGAATCTTAACGATATTATTAAGTCAACCGACAACCGCCAATCGTTGCAGCTCCGGTATTCGACTGCCGGGTCCCTGGACGGATATTCTGGCGCCCGACAGCGGCGAGGCGGCGGCCGCCGCCGCCGCGGCGGCGGCGACGTCCGCCGCCAGCGGCGGTGGTGGTGGCGGAAACAGTGCAGCCGCCGCCGCTGCCGCCGCCGCCGCCGCGCTTATGTTGGACGGCGAACATGTACGACCTGCCATTGCTCTGGTACTGGAAGGTCGGATCGGAGAGTTGCTGGGTGTCGGGCCGGAGTCCAAGCCGGAACACAGGTACATACGTACGTACGATCGTACGGCACCAAAACACCTTGCAATGTCGTCTACATGAAGTGACACGACCTTTAGCGCCTTTTCCAACTTCAGTCAAAGTATTGCTTTTATCATTTCTGTCTCCTCAATGATCGTATCTGTCTCTCTCCATCTACGCATTTTGTCCAGGGCGCTCTTCCCCTTGAGGACCCCGGTTCGAGCCTTCCCGGGATCAGACCCATCTCGACCCGGCCTCATTCGAATCGACACGGACTCCATTTACGAGGCCATGCGCTTGCAACCCCAGCACCAACACCATCAACTTCAGCAGGCACTGCAACAGCAGCAACAACAGTAGCAACAGCTGCAGCTGCGGATACGACAGCAGCAGCAATACCTCCAATGTTGATCAGGAGGATGCGGTCTAGGCTGGTCCAGGGAGGGTCAGGGTGAAGAGGGAATGACGTTTACCAAACCGCTTCTTCGTCTCCGAAAAGGGGGAGTGGCGGTTTTGCCCGTGCGCGGAGACCCAAAGGGCCTGGGTGCCTGTGCGGGTGCCGCCCGCTTTCCACATCGGTCTACACCTTCCTCCTCCGCGTTATTTCCAGAAGACAGTACGGGAAGGTACGGGAAAGCCCTGGCGGTGCCCTTACCGGTACTGGGACCGGTAAGAGAGCGGATTTGGTTGTCATGTTGCAATTGTTGGCGAGCTCTCTTCAATTCTCACAATTTCACATTTCAAAAGCTTCGGGAACGTTGCGTTGTGACGTGGCTGTGGTCCGGCATACATTTGTCAGGCTATACCAAAAATGGAGCAGTACAAGCAGAACAGGAGCAGTAGTGGTAGTAGCAGTAGCAGTAGCAGTAGTAGCAGTAGCAGTAGCGGCCGTTGTGCAGCGCGGGGGTGGGGGCCGGCAGTAGTAACTGAGAGAACATGGGTGGACTGTCCAGGAAATAACAGTCAGTGGTGAATGGTTCTTAATTTTTGCAATCTGAACACACAGGTATAGTCCTGTTAGCAATATCAATAATAATAATAATCTAATAAATGGGGCTGTGGGCTCCCCCCTTTTCCCCCCCCCTGGAGAGCGGGGGGGGAAAATGGGGGTTGGGCACAGATATTAGTTCTTGAAAAGAGAGCATCTGCGATACGTGTTTTGTTGCCCATGGTTTTTCCGGCGCCCCTCTGCCCCTCTGAGGGTGACTTCTCCGCTAGTGATTGGTATTCCGCGGGACAGAATTCGAGTATAGCCTTTGTAGTAGCGAGTAGCGAGGTGGAACACGGCACACGTGATGATGCAATGCAATGACGCGAAGAAGCCGGCACAAGCAAGGAACCGCAATCCAACCGGGTGTACGACACATGCTTTGGCACCGTACAGTGCTACATGATGATGGTGATGATGATGATGATGAGCAGCAGGGGGGGCGTAAAGCGATTGATGTAGAGGTCTCTTCGGATATCACAACACATGTTACGGGGACATGTGCCCCACGGGAGGGAGAGGATTTCTTTGCTTTGAGCTAAGCAAAGAAAGCGCATTAAATAGCGAGTACGGTTCTACGGGGTGGTGTACGGTCAAAGCGACGAGATCGATTTCATAATCATACCGATTTGTGATTGTGGCAAGCGCCTGGATGCTGGGCGACACGGCGAGCTTGGTTTCAGCTGTTCACTCTTCGTCACCTGGGTTTTGCACACAAGTTTACATGTGCAAGTGTATGACATCTGTACGGCAAGTACGGAGATCATGACCAATTGATGTGGGCCATGAATCCTGCGGATCATTACGTCCTTTTCGCGGGGCTGTACGGCTGGGCTGTACGGCTGTACGGCGACATGGTATAATGAAGAAGATTCTTGAAGAGGAGAGCGTGGAGGGGGGCACCGTGAACGCCTCTTTAACCAAAAGAGAAGCCATTTTGACGAATTCCATGACTTTTTGCGTTTGTGAAGGGGCAGCTGGCTGACTGACCGGACGCTCTGTTGGCTGGCTGGTACCGCGTGAAAAACTTAAACAATGTGAAGAAGGAGAACATGCCAAGTGACGAATTACGGGGTATGGGATGCACCAATGTACGGACAATGTACGGATTTGCAAATCGTTAGCGGGCTAGGGTGAGCTCGCGCGGGATCTTCCGCTTATATCCGCGGTCGCTTCGCACTTTTACGGATGGCTTAGCTTAGCTAGAAGGTGGTTGCGAAGCGCTCCGCAACCGATCACACATGCCATTCGTCCATCACAAGCTTTGATCATCAGATCACAATAAGAGCGTCAAAAGCCGCTCGCCATGCATCGTGAATTTGGAGCTGCTGCGCCTTCGCCTTGTCAAGGCAATCTAAAATTAGTGAGCAAGGCAACAGCACGTACGTTGTTGAGGCGGAGGACGAGGATGAGGACGAGGGATATGATTTTTTTTTCTTACGTAAAGAGTGTTCGACGTTGATCCTTATCGAAGATTGTTTTCCATCTCCTCCGTGAATTTGTAGATAGTTGTCTTTAGCAGCAGCAACGGGCTTTTGGGCTTTACGTAGGGTTTTGCGGTAGGCTAGGCGCAGGTGGAGCAGGCGTTGATTCGGGCAGCAACGGCAGTTGAATTAGCAGCAACTGCAGCAGCAGCAACTGCAGTTGCAGCACGCGGGATGCTGAAAAAGGCACATCGATATTCTGTTGATGTAGGTGTGGGAGTCGTTGGGGGGGACGTATGTGAGGGTGTCGGCAGACAGGCAGACAGGTGATTTTACCAGAAGGATCCCTGGTGATGCGATTTCTGCTTGCAGTTGTAACACTATCATACGGCATCCATGTAACAGACTTTGTATACATTTCTGCTGATTCGTGCTTGCAGCTCCCTCGCCGTTCCTCCAATACGGCAGTTTTTTTACCGTTATAAGGCGACGGCCGTACAACAGGGACAAAAACAGCTGTAACGAAGGCACCCAGTGATTACCAATCGCATCTGTATAATGGCATGCATCATGGTATCGATGCTCGCTAGCAGCCCTTAGATTTCACGCACCAGCATGGCAGTTGATCTGAAAGAATCGATCCCCTTGCATGATTACTGCAATTTCCACTTCCCAATTCAGAAGGGCGTTCCAAAAGTTTCGGATGTATCTCTCGTCCTGTCTCTGAACTATGGCATTTGGTTGTTCGGGATGCAATATGCGGGGGCCCTAACTGCAATAAGCTATGCGCATCGATTCAAAGCATGTCACAGAACCTGTTTTCCGTATCCATGCGCCGTCTATGCGCCGTCTGCCAAGGCAACCGTACCTTATCATTGCGAGCTTGCGTAAGGAAGCTGGGTTAGTTGGGCGTAAGGCCCAATGTGTCACTGTTAGACTAACTGTTTCGCAACGGCCCGTGTCCTCAGGGCCGTCATTTAGTGCGCGCATTAAGCTGTTTAGCTTATCTTGTTTTTGTTGTTCAGCGCGCGCCCGCCCGCCCGCCCGTTTATGGTGCAGCCTGCGTTAGTTCAGTTGCGGTGTCTCTTTCTCCGTTCGTAAGGCCCGTCTTCTTCGGGCCTTTCAGTCCTTTTTCTCTCTTTCATTATATGTAACAGAAAATGACATTTACCTATGGAGTAACAACTAATATGCTAGCAGTCACGAATGAGTGGTCCAAACGCGTATTATACAAGTCAAATTTATTGTTACTTTATCATCAAAGTTTCCCTCATATAAATTTTAAGTGTTACTAGCCAACAAAGAAATTGGGCCACACATTCTTGACTGGTACTGGTGAAGTGCTATAATAGCACTTCAGGTGCTCTGGTGCTCTTGCTGTTGATTCACGAGGAAACAATATACAGAAAACATGCGTAAACCCCAAATCAAATCTATGAACACCTAAGCACTTATCATAATAGCCAACAAAACGCAGCGATAGGCCGTTATCACGACGCCCGTTAATCCTGGAAAACCAAGATTCTTCGCGATAACCTAAAAATCGTAAATATTACTTACCAGATCTATAGCTGTATATATACAGCTTTTCTCCTCTCTCTTTAACTCAGAGAGTGCGACATGGCGAAAGCCCTGCATCGCGTGCTCGCCACGTTCGGGACCGCCGCGGACGGCAGACTGGGCCTCGGCTTCCCCCTCAAAAGCCAGTTCTATCCACGTATCGTCGCCAGCCTGGCGGGCTACTCCATCAAGCAGGTCGCCTGCGGCGGAGCGCACACGGCTGTCGTGACGGGTGCGCCATATAGCCAACTAAGTTGCATCTCTTTCGGCTGGCTGCCCCGCCGCCTTCAAACTTCCTTACTTCTTTCCCAAATCCCTTTCCCACCACTTGCATACATACACGTGCCGTGCCGTGGTGGTATGTGGTTGGGGGGAAAGTAACCCCCGACCTGTCCAACCGTCAGAGAGCCTCGGGAATCCCCGTAGGTCCTGTCCTGTATGTTAGTGTGCCCATGTCTATCTGCATGTTTGTCGGAATGGGAGCCAGGGAGCCCCTTCCCGCCTTTTGTTAATGTTGAAGGCTTCCCGTCTACCAGGACCCTCCCCTCCTACCCCCTCCCCCATTTCTTTCCCCCTCTCCCCCCGACCCCCGACCCTCCGAAGACGACGGCGCCTTGTTCACTTTCGGACTGAACTCCTGGGGGCAGCTCGGCCACAGCAGACAAGACAAATTTGTGGCGGTGGGGTGGGGATGGCGGTGGGGCGGTGGGGTGGGTGGGGAGGTGAGGGTGAGGGCGTGTGTTAGGGGTTTTTTGCTGGAGGGGGGAGAGATGTGCGATGCTACCCACGTGACCCCCCTATAACCCCCGAGACACATCATACGTACATACATACGTACATGCATTCTATGTAGGTACGTATATATGTATGTCTGTATGTACGTACGCACACGCACACGAATTAGCCCGTATTCCTCCATTGCCTGTCCGGTGCCTCCCGCCCGCCGGTACACCCCCCGATCTCCCCCCAGAGTCCCCTGGAGGTCGGACTGCCCGACCCGGTTGTGGCTGTGGCGGCGGGGGGGTATCATACCCTGGCATTGACAAGTGAGAGGGAGGGGAAGGGGGGGAAAGTGGAGGGGGGAAAGGTCTTTTCCTAGGGGGTTGCTGTGTGCGTGTGTGTGTGTGTGATGCCCCTCGCCCAACTCCAACCCAACCCGCATGCCCGAACACGCATCTCACTTTCTCCCCCACACAGGCGGCTTGTCCACCGCATCCTCGCATACCGATATTCTGTTGTATGTGTGTATGTATATGTGCTGCTCGCTTATCCTTTCATTAGCCATTTCCCCCCCCTCCCCCTTTCCCCTCCCCCTCCTCCCGCTCCTTCCCCCCTTCTTTCTCGCCTTGCCAGGCGCGGGGGAGGTGTGGTGCTGGGGCATGGCGGGGGAAGGGCAGCTGGGCATCGGGGAGCCCTCGGAAGGAGCAACGGGCGGCAGGCAGGTAGAGCCGAGATTGGTGGGGTCGTTATCCGGTAAGTCAGTTAGTTAGTTGGTCCGGGAGCGCTCATTAGGTCAAGGGATGGTCGGGCGGGAAGGGAGGTTGGGAATGCACACATACTTCCCGCGCCCGAAGGGGGAATGTGGGGATATGCGCATTGTAAAAGTGTATTGTATGCATGCGTATATATGTGTGTATATGTGTGTATGTATGTGTGTATATATATGTGTATGTATGTGTGTATGTATGTATGTATGTATGTATGTATGTATGTATGTATGTATGTATGTATGTATGTATGTATGTATGTATGTATGTATGTATGTATGTATGTATGTATGTATGTATGTATGTATGTATGTATGTATGTATGTATGTATGTATGTATGTATGTATGACTTAGATTACACTGTGGGCCGCGAGAGCCGGGGGCCGAAGCCGAAACACAGCGCAAGGGTCGGGAGCACACAGCACAAGTTGGTTAGTCTTGTGTGCTCCCGACCCCGACTCAGACTGCCAACACTCTACGCAGCCACTCCGTAGCCCCTCCATCCGGGGATGGCGCTGCATTGAATACACCACGAAGGGCTCTCAGGTCCCGCTAGAGCGAGTCCACAAGTCTCAGCTAGGGCAAAGTCAAAGGCTCTCTGAAACAACCCCCCAAAACACCACCAACGAAAACGGGATCCTAAGGGAGGAAAACAAACAAACAAAAATTCGGTTAGGGCAGTCCCGGCAGGGGAGGGCTCCTGATATACCTAACAGGCCAACAAAAAAACCTCCAAGAGAGAAAGGCTAAGAGAGCTCGACACCACAAGACGTCTTGCAACCACCTTAAAACAACTGACCTCCACCACCTGTCCCTTCCTGGGCTGGTCCAGGGGAGAAGTAGCCTTATAAAGAAAAGGGATCCCGCACAAGCCTGATCACCACTGCAGGGGCCCGGGATAGACCAGCGAAACCAAAGTATGTGTATGTATGTGTGTGTGTGTGTTTTTATCGAACTAAAAGCGATCAGTCTCAACAGTCGGGAAATGGCAACACGGCGACTCAATGAAGGCAACTAGTGGTCTCCAGTCAGCAGTCTGAAGTAGTGGAGGCGTGTACTGGTGATGATGGACTACCGGGTACGTCTGTGTGTATGTGTGTGTATATATGTATATATGTATGTGTGTGTTTATGTATGTGTTTATGTCTGTATGTATGTATTTGTGTTGGTGGGAGACAGAGGGGACACGTCACCCAGCGCCGCAGCTGCACACACACACACACACACACAAACACGAACACACACACAGATATGTTTGGCCTGCTGACGGTTGTGCTGGCGGTTGGAAGGAGGGTTCGTAATCCGTAAGCCGCTCCGCCCAGTCCTTGGGCACCTTGGGCCCCACTCCCCCGGGAGCAACTTTTCTCTGTCTCTCGTGTACACACATCTTTGCATACAGACATACACACACACGGCCCATCACACCGTATCACCACGTTCGCCGCTCCTTTCCCCCCCTCTTTCCCCCCCCTTTCCCCCGCTCTTCCCCCCCCCCACACACACACACCGTAGGTGCGGGTGTGGTGTCCCTTGCTGCGGGTGACCACCACTCATTGGCTCTGACGCGGTCGGGGGAGCTGTTCAGCTGGGGCAGGGGAGACCAGGGGGCGCTGGGGCATGGAACAGGTGCGCGGGCAACTGTATGTCCGTATGTGTGTATTATGTTCATATGTGTGTATGTGTGTTTTATGATCATATGTGTGTACGTATGTATGTATGCGGGGGTAAGATGAGGGGGAGGTGGCGAGTGCGGGGGTGAAAAGAGAGATGGGGCCCAATGGGGGGAGAGGAGGAGCATGTGATGGATGAGGAGGGAGAGAAGGGGGCTATCTAGAAGCTATGGGGTTTTGTTGGGGAGGGGGGAGTAAGTTCCGTCCTATCCCACACGTCTCCCTCCCCCTCGCACGCGTGTGTTGTGTGTTTTCTCCCCCTCCCTTACCACCTCTTACCAACTCTTCCCCCCGCCCCCCCCCTTTTCCCCCCCGCCCGCCCGCCAGTCGACGGCTATGCGCGTGTGGAATTGAAGCCCAGACGAATCACGTCCCTGCCCTCGCCCTCCTCCTCCACCTCCCCGCGCCCAGTCGCCATCACCGCCGGGCCGTACAGCTCCGGAGCGGTTGACTCCCGGGGGAATGCGTACGTCTGGGGGTACGGCACTGGGTACCAGCTGGGTACGGGTCGTGCAACCAACGAGATGCAGCCGGTCTTGGTGAGGAACCCATGAATGCGGGGGTGTACGGGGGTTGTCGTACTGTGTACGTATTCGCGTGTGTATTGGTGCGTTTTGGGAAAGTGTTGCGATTTAACGAACACGTACAACCCCCCAACTCCCAACCCCCCTTCCAAACACACGCCTCCAACACACACCCTCCCTTCCCGCGTTTCCACGTCCCCAAACGTCATCGCCACCTTTGACTCTCGATTCTGTTTTAGAGCTCTCTCTTTTCTTCTTCGTCCCATCTCTTCCGCCCTCCTCCCCCTCCCC